CTTCCCGGCCGCCTGCCTGCAGGTGAAGACCAAGGCGTAAACAGGCGTCGAGCACGTGACTGCTTCGCAGCTCGGTGGGCAGTGCTCCCCTAACTCTGTCTAGGCAGGGACACCCTGCTCGTCCCTCTCGTCCCCCTGCCCCCTAGTCCTGGCGTGTTCGCTTCGCCCTGCACAGGGCTTTATCCCACACTCCACCTGGAACGGTGTGAACCGTCTCACCCGGAATGGGAGCTCCACGCCTCCGGGGGCTTGGGTGGCCCGGAGGCCTGCAGAGTGCTGGACGGGGTGGGGTTCTTTGGACTCGCTGCCTTCCTGCTCACTAACACATTCGGAATCCGAATCCTTGAAGGTGTGTGAGAGAGGACCTTGATGGCCCGGGACAGCTGCCCCTGTCTTACACACCCGTCCGGCAGCAGCTGTCCATCGGTCCTTTTCCTCCCGCCCCCGGCTTGCAGGACTGGGCACACAAAGCCCACCATGCAAGAAGAGCAGTCTCCCTCGCCCCTCGCCCCTGCACGGAGGATGCAGGAGAGTAAACACTATCCCTAAACGCTGAGGGGAGTTTGCCTCCACTAGGAGGAAGAAGGACCAGATCCCCTTCTCTCAGCAGATGAAGGGGGCGGGGGCTGCCCGAGGCCCCTCTCCCTCGCCAGTCCCCACCCCTCGTCCCCCCACCCTTCACCCCGCCACACACAGAGCCCAGCTGCTGCCCGGGCTTCTGGGCAGGCGGCCAGAGAGGGGAGGAGGCTCTCAGTGCCCCAGGAGGCAGGGATCAGGGCAAGGCCAGAGGAGGGGTCTCCATGGGGGAGAGGGCTTCAGTCTGTCCGCGTGAAGCTGAGGGGCTGGAGTGAGCCTGAGGGTGGCTGGGCTGTGTTTCCCTTTCCAGGGAAAAAGAAAGAAAAACAACCCTTTCCATGGAGCTAAAAATAGAGCTGAGAGCCGGCCAGGCTGTGGCCTGGAAGGGGGGGATGCTTCTTCCTGGGGCTGAGCCCAGCTCTGGCAGCCTTGGTCCTGGGAGGGGGGGGACAGCGGGGAAGGGAGGGTGGCCTTGCCAGAGGATGTGGATGTCAGCTGACCTGACCAGGTCACAGAGACCCCCTCAGGGAAAGTGGGTAGTTAGTGAGTATGATGTAAGAAGTTGTCTGAGTGGCTGAATACCGCTGCCATTGCATGGAAGCGGGTTGGTTGGGAGTGTATTTTAAGATTGTGACTGGATGCGAAGGGCTGTTGTGACAATCAGTGCACGACAGGCATGAACACCCAGTGTTCTGTGAGTTGGCCCGAAGGGTTATGGAATGAAGGGATGTGGAACCACGTGACGGACGAGACAGTGACCGCGGCTGCCTGACACCGAGTGTGGGAAAGGTCTTGTGGGTGTTAAGACTGCTGTTTTCGAAAGGGTAAACATATGTGTGACCCTGAGAAAGACACTGGGATGTCTGCTGCAGAGCCAGTGTAGGTTTGAACCGT